CACTGCTGGAAGCTTGCATAGTTTGTTTCCTGCTTACTATGTGGGTTAGTGGTAGAGTTAAAGGAGGAGCCCATAGAAAAGAACCTGGGGTGACAGGTAGCGTGCTTCAGGCTTTTAATTTTTCTCCTCCCTCTCTTTTTTTAGAAGAAAATGCTTATGATGAATATGAAAATGAGCTTGGAATTACAGCCATAGCCCTTTATGATTATCAAGCTGGTAAGCAAAGCTCTTGTTTTTAACCTTGTCTTTGAAAACTCTGCTCTGCACAGGTAAGTCTGGGTTTTTCCTTTGCCTTTCATCTTGTAGTCTCTCGTAGTAATGGCTGAAATGGGGAGTTAGGAATTTAGTGATTTAGCAATAGCATTGAGACACTTTTGAAAACTACTAGCCACTGTTTCTGGAAATGATGGGAGTTTTCAAAATCTTCTTTAACCAAGTGTTAACACTCTTGTTAAGTCTTGGCATATGTCGTTGTTTCAAATCTGGACTGGTTAATTCCGAGAAGAGCGCAAGAAAGCAAAGTGTTTCTCAGTGTGTTAGGCAGCAATTGTTGCTCTGAGTTAGAAACGCCCCCAAAATGCTGCAGGTAAGAACCGACGGTGTCATCGCTCCGGAGGATGAGAAAGTGTCCGGCCTCACCGGGCGTCGGTGCCCGGGGCCCTGTTTCAGTGGTGACGGGTGTCTGTCACGTCTGGAGACGGTGGGTTGGGAGGTGGATGGTAGCGTGGGCCGCTCCCGTGCGAGTCCTGAGCCTCCTCAACTCTCTCCGCAGCGGGTGATGACGAGATTTCCTTTGACCCAGATGACATCATCACAAACATAGAAATGATCGATGACGGCTGGTGGAGGGGTGTCTGCAAAGGCCGATACGGGTTGTTCCCCGCCAATTATGTGGAGCTGAGACAATAAAGACTATTGTCTACTGGTTATGCCTTAATTCCCCCGTCAATAAATCTGACTTAATACACTACAAATCATGATGCTTTTCTGAGGATGGAGGGGTATATACATATTGCTTTTATATTTAATACTTTGCTGATGCTTTTTAAAATGTTTATGCCACAGAAATCGCTAATATATTGTAACTATTATGTTCTTCACTAAGGCTCTTGAAATGATTTCATGCATTTGGAAACATTTCTTCTCTGCCAAATTAACGATTGTCATAAAAAGCCTTTTCGAGGACAGTTAGCTGTCTGTTGTAATATTGCATGTTTTACTCATAAGTGAGCAGATTTACTTAGTGTTTAAGTCTAGATAGTCTTCCACTAAATGTTTTCAGCTAAGAAAATCATGGCTATGCAGGATGTTTGCATTTCCACTAGGCGGGAATGGGGAGGATGTAATTTTTTCTTTTCTTTTCCAGATAGTGCTTAAAAAAGCAAAGAGAATGCTTGGAAGTTGCAGCTAATGGCAGTTAATCAAATACTGTCCAATATTTATGGAATATTAATGTTATGAAGGAAACAGTCTGGTTACTTTTTCCTTCTCTTTTAAAGCGATGTTCCTTGGCTCTTGCATTAATTTTTTTAATGTTTTTTTTCCCTGCTGCTCCTGCTCATGTTAACCCAGAGGAGGTCTGCAAACACTCTAGCACTGATTATCCCAAATTTCTTTACTTCTTGTTTTTGTTTCACCCTCCTCTTTCCCAGGCAAACTTGGAAAAGTTACTATTACAAGTGTTGAGTCACTCAGCGAGATTCCTACTTGTTCAAAGGGAAACTGGCATCCCAGTCTGTGTGACTACCTGCAGGAACAGTCTCGTTGCTTTAAATGGGAGGAAAAAAAAGGGCAGGATAGAATTGCAGTTGTGTTCTGTGTGCAAACCAGCCTTTTTTCATACAAGGAGAGGCCTGCTGTGCAGTAATGACATTTTCTGTAACCATATTTGAGTCAAGGAATGTTAATACAAGTAATTAGATTAAAAACCCATATAAACGATCTGTATTTTTAGTCTCCATACGAGGGACAACTGTACTTACTGTATGTTCAACAGAAACTGCCAGTAACGTTCTACTAAACAACATTAAACCTGTTCTTTGCCAAAACGGAAACTGAAATTCCTGTCGTTCTAGAAAGCTGGCTTTGCTGCAGATTTAGGGTCCCTACCAAAGATAGCAAGTTGCATCTAATAGTGCACATGTTCAGTGTCTGTACTGTCTGTTTCCCCCTTCTGATCAAAATGGGAATGGCAGAACTGGTGCAGTAGCTAAGAAAGAATGCACAGAATTTTTATAAACTGTAAATTTGGACCAATGGGATATAGAAGACCTGTATAAATTGGTAAAATGTGTAACGTATCTAGGAAGAAGGCATCATGTTGAACCAATTCTTGGATGGTTGGGACAATCCTTAATGAATGTCATGTGTGTGTCATGATTATTTTTTTTATTTTCCTTTCCATGGTCTCATTTCTGTGTTGTATTTGCATTACTAGGGTTGGGTTTTATATGCCGTTTATTTTATCCGATTTTGCATAGAACACCTCATAGGGATATGATTTTTGTAAATTAAATATTCAATAAACTTTTTGAACCATGTGCATGGAATATTTTTGTATCTTTAAATGGCTTTGTCAATCTGTTGCGGGTAGTTCGTCTTGTCTCAAGCTTATCCAGGACCAGCTCACGTACAACGAGAGCTGCTGTCGTGAAGGGCACCTACATTCTTCTAGGTTGCTGCTGCCTTCCAGCTGCTTCCCTTCCTTAGAAACCCACTTGCTTTGTCCTCTGCGCCTATTGAAAACCTTCGCATCAGGATCTGTTTTGTCTGTAGTTTTACGTGCCTGTCAAAGCTGAAACCACCCGTGAGCTGTGGGTTTGGTGAGAGGGGTCGCTCCTGGCTTTTGGGACTACTGGTGGCCGCAGGACAGCGGGTGCTCTTGAAAACGTGGCCATCAGTTACGGTCAAATCACCAGACTTTTCTGAGAATCTGATACTTGGCCATACGCTGCTGGAAATGCCAAGAAAGAAAATCCTAACACCCTTTTTCTGATTATTTTTTAATGCCACTCTATCAACAGGAAATCCAAAGCTTCAGAGCTCGCTGCCTGCGAGTTGTAAAATTCAGTGAGTTGCTGTTGCTTTAGCAGTTAAAAACACACAGAAAGGAGAAGAAAACGGGCACGTCTAGGGAGGCTTTGTGCTCTAGAGGGGGTGGATGGTGCCGTTATTAAAGCTTTATGCTGCCACGTGCAGATTTGAGGGGGCTGGTGTGGGCGATGAGCCCGTTGGTGGGAGGCGGCAGCCCCCAGGCTCGGCCCGGCGGCAGGACGGGGCTGTGCAAGGGACGGGTGCTGCACTAAGCCCTTCTGGTGTTTTGGGTGAAGGCACGTGGGGTCTGGCTGCAAGGCCCGGGCGGCTGCTGCCAGAGCCACTGAAGGGCCAACAGGCCCTGAGGAGGTCGCCACAACTCCCTGTCCGGCAAGAGAGGAGCTTCTAGCCGGGAGGGAAACGCTCAAAGGGGAAGAAGGGCTGGCACCGGGCGTGAACGCGCGTGGGTAACCATAAACGGCATCGTGGGGAAACCCCTGCGGTCCTGTGGCACAGATGGGGAGGAAAGGGGTTCCTGGAAGAACAGGTAAGGTGACGCTGTGTTAGGAGTCTCGAGCCTTGGGAGCTTATCCGTGGATTGCCTCACCTAACGGAGGAAGTTTCACCTCCAGGCTGCTAATCTCACTGTCACCGTGTGGCCAGGTGCTCAGTGTAACATCTCGTCCAGGGTATTTGGGGAGCACTGCTCTGACTGTACTGTTGTGGTTCTCGGATTAGATGTAGGCAAGACTTGAAGTTTTCAGATCAGTCGTACTGAGCAGCAGTAATTGCTCAAGTTATCCAGAGCAGTTGCTGGAAAAAACCCACCCCAACTCTCTGCGTTTTCCATCAGAAGGGCTGGCTCAGCCCTCCTTGTGGGTAACTCATGCGAGCAGCGAGCAAGCCCCTTAATTTCTGTTAATGGATGTCTTATTGATTCACGGGCTGGACTTTGGGTGAGCCATTTACTTTCCTGGCACCTCGAATTCATCATGTTGCGTCTTAATGCAAGCTCCTTGTTGCTCCGGAGCTGCTGGGGCTTCAGCTGATGGAAGGCAGCAGTGGCACTGATTTTATTCGCTGTCTAATCAATTGTTGATTTCACACTTGAGTGTCATTCTTCTAAATTAATTAAGCACATCATAAGAACACTCAATAAAGTATTTTTATATAAATATTTTATAGTATTTTATAGTATTTCATTTGCCTATTTCTGTAATAATTGCTAGTGACAATAATGAGAGGAGGACATAGCTGGGAGAGCGGTTATGTGGGAGGTGGAGAAATCCTCAGAGCCGTGAGCTACCCTTGACTGTCCCGTGTTGCCACGCTCTGTGGCAGAAACTGCGGCTGCATTAACTCCCCGACTGCAGGGCACGGGTGCCTCTTGATAGAGCAGATGGAAAGTTCCGTGTCATACAACCTGACGGCGTTTCCCGACACGTGTACCTCAGTCCCACTTTGTGCCTGAGGATCTCCTCGTGTTAATTGTAGGTGGGTAATTGCCGCCTTTTCGCTCCCTGAATAAACGGTCTGAATTAGCTCTGCCTTTCCTGCCGGCTTGGCAGGAACTTTGCTCTCACAGAGAAAAGCCGTCCCCATCCAGCGCCTCTCTCAGGATGATGGGTTGCCCTCCTGAATCACGCGAGTGATGAAGAGCCCCTCTGCAGCACGCAGGGTGAGCTTCTCAAAGGCATTTTAAGAGCCTGGCAGAGCTTTACCAATGCATTGCTCGGATGCATTTTATCAACCCGCTCCTTAAGCTGCTGCTTTATTTTTAGTCTGCACAGATGGCAGGTTTAAGAGGATGGTGAAGAATGCGCCTGCATCCAATTTATTTTATGTAAAGCCTTGAAGCTGTGGAGTATTTTGCTAGGTTTTTGTGTGCAATGGGCCATTACCAACTTGATAATTTTGACTAGGGTTTTTTTTTTCTATAGGGAGAATCAACCTAAGCCTTTTTTTTTATTTTTAACCAAGGAAGGGGAGCAGGAGGCAGGGGAAATATTACAAAACGAAGCACAGGGACATTCCTCTGAAGAGGTGGTTTGGCTTGGATAAAATGCATACCAGTAAAAAAATCTCGTATTGCATGTGGTCTGCATGTCCTCTGCAGGTTTTTCTGAACCTGGAAGGTCAACCGTCGCAATCATCTCGGCATATTCTAATTTTTAAGTCCCTTTTCTATCGAGTAAATGTAAGTTACCAAGGATATTTATCTGAAGCACCTACTTTTAGATGAGTGCTTTTGCAAATACAGACTTAAAGCCTTCTATGATTTTCTGAGAGACTTCAGCCTATAAGAGGAGCTTTCAAAGCGCAGCCCACTGATGTTTAATACCCCGCCTGCAAGTCAGTTCCTTGTGCTATGAAGTTCAAGAGCTCCTGCCATTTCATGTAGTTCGTATTCACCTTGCTGCAGGTTTTCTACATTACACAGGGACAGGGAGCCTTCAAATTCAGGCTGCAATAGCGTAAGCACGTTATTACATGCTTGTCCGTATCGAAGTATCAACAGAATGCTGATGAGGTGGTGCTTAGTTATTGCTAAATTTGAAGAAACTTCCTCAAATTCACCTCACGGTGAGCACACTGCTTCTACCATGATTTACAGACACTGCTATGAAGTTCGTTGCTGAAAGGGGAAATTGATATATTAGTGCATGGAAAGAGGAAAAAGAACAAAAAAAAAGAACAAAAAAAGAAAATCAATATCTCAACCGTGCAACACAGAGTACTGCCTTGGATGGCTTCCAAAAAGGGAATTTGCATTGATCAAAATAGCTTTACTTGACATATTTGTCCCAGAATCTGGGAAGCTTGGGCAGAATAGGGGTGATATATCTTCAACTGCCTGGAAAGTGCCTTGCATGCAGCAAGGGAACCTTAGAGAGCGCAGCTTGCTACAAAATCAGAGTTTAATGGCCATTTTCTAAAGGGCCTATGGAGTCAGGCAAAATTAATTTAATAATTACTGTTATTTACATAGAAAAAAAATAAAAATAAAATACCTAGCTGTTTCCATTATCTAAGCCCCCTGAAAATGAGAAGCAGGGGCTCTGCCCGCAGGGAACTGACAGTTACCACTTGCATTCAAGCTGGCTGTTTGCACGGCAGCCATCTACACGCTTGCCTACAGAGACACTCGCACTTCAGTGGCAAAAACCCCGGCTTGTTGGCCGCCAGAGGGTGAGGCACGGTGCTAACCCGCTCCATAAAGGCTCTGAAAAGCAGAAAAAGCACGCTGCTGCGCAGTTAGATGCTGTCACTTCTTTCTGCAGGCGAAGGAGGGTGGCCAAATCACAAC